CAAGCTGAACACATATGAGGTGTTTTATTGCACTAGCAAATATATTTTATACATGCCGTAAGGTTGATACTTGAGACATGGTGATGGGACAGTATCAAAAACGCTATACAATGAAATCCGTTCGATATTTTTTTGACATTTTACCTCAAACTGGTGTGAAATCGAGCGGTGAATTCCCTGAGCGAAAATGACAAAAATATCGAACGGTTTCCATGGCACGTTGCGAACGGTGCGATCGTCAGCGACCATTGAAATTTTCCGATGTTGTCATTTGACGTGACCTGACCTTGAACGACCTGGGTCTAAAATTTCTTCATATGCAGAAACAAATGTATGAGCAGGTGTGCCGAAAATGGTGGCGCTGCGCGCCGCCGTTCTTAGATATTCGCGAAAAACCTGAGGGGGCGGGGTTGGGGGCGTAAAACGCCACCCAGCACAGCGCGGGTCAAGGTCGGATGGTCACCTTAACAGTCGGGTTTTAGTCTCGCAAAACACTTCCATGGGCGTCCAATATTAAAATCAGCTTGAAACAATCACATAAAATGTGTTATACTTAACAGTAATGGAAATAAGTAGGTATGTCACGTCCAAACGCGTCTCGCCGCGGTATCTAATAATCTAATATGTAAGGAAGGTTGAAAATGCTCGCTGAAATCGAATAGTGTACGAAAATATGTGTGTAGGCATTAAAAAAAAAAACAGTCGGAAAAAATAATAACAGTGGAAAAATAATAAGCACAAACGAGACAAAAGAATCTTAAACGGTTCAGCGAGCGGAATTAAGACCATGGGCTCCACCACCGGGGGGGGGGGGGAAGGGTACGGGGGACGTGTCCCCCAATATTTTACATTTTTAACATTGTGCCTATGGATGCTGCATGGAAAGAATCGACTTCAAACAACCTTCGCCCCCCCCCCAAAAAAAAACATCGGGTCGTGACGGAGTTCTTGTTTAAAGAAGTAAAAAGGGTCAAATGAACGTTCTTTTAGGATAAGGACAACATTATCCCACAAACATTTTTTTTTAACCCTCGCATGTGTAGGGGGGGTCGGATGGACCCCCTTTCCCCATGGTTTTTCGCGAATAACTCGCGTAAAAAGCGGCTGATCGCAACGAAACTTTTAGTACCATCGCATTGATCAATTTTACACCTACCCTGAAACTTTCATGACCCTGACCCTAATGACCTTTGACCTGTGACCTCTTTTCCGAGACCATGTTTGGCCGGAATCGCGATTCGGCGTACGTACGTCGGCTCGCATAGCCGCGCGTTTGCAAGCTTTTCGTGGTTTCAAACGTTCAAACATGTGATTTGATGTTGCTCCCATGCATTAGGGTGGGTGTCAAGGTCACCTGAAGGTCAGGTCAGGTCATTGACCTTTGGTGACCTCGGGTGACCTCGGTTCACTTTTTCGAGTTTTACATGTTTCTAGGCTAGTTTTTGGAGCTGAATTCGAATTTAACAACCATTTGAACATTTACGAAGTAGTTTTGGTGCCTTCGTAACATGTTACGAAGCTGTCAGAGGCGGTTGACACGTACTACGAATACCCGTCACGACGCCTACTGATTGACCTGACCTGACCTGACCCGACCTGGTCTAAATGCTTAAAGACATCATCTGTGATCAAAACTAACACGATATTCGTGATCAGTACCCCGAAAAACCCCTTAGCAGCCACACTTTACGACTTTCTAATAGGTCCCGATTTTCCCGACTTTGGGTCATTGACCTGACCTGGAAGGTCAACCAATGACCTAGGACCTTAAAATTGGGTATCATCGGCTTCCTCTCGTCACGGGCAACACGCTCGTTTTTTCCGCGAAGCTCTAGCTCGATTAGGGGCCAAACGGCAAGGGGGGTCCAACCGACCCCCCCCCCCACACATTAGAAGCTGGAAAACGCCGCACACATGCAACTTGCAAGGGTTAAATTTAAATATAACATAACTCACCTCTTCTTTTTCGAACTATGCCGGGTAGGTATCCCTCAGTTTCTCGATCGATCTGCTCCGCCGTTCACGGTTGGCACCGACCTCCTGACGCCGGCGGGGAATGTCTGCTGGTCCATCAGTTCACCTCCCTGTTCTCCGCGGCGCATGCGATTGATAAAAGCTTCATCGACAATCACCGAGCTCTTCACAGATAACTTACCCGTCCCATCCTTCGCTGCACGCCTTCCCCGCTCCTGCACTCTCCCGCACAATTTCACAATAGCCTCAACAATTCAACGTGAACTACGCGAGTCACCGCGCCACAACGGACTGAAGCGCGCGCCGCGGTTTTCGAACGCAACGGCTATAATACTCATCACGCGAACTCACGCATCACGCAGGAAACTCACCCTGCCGCGCATGCGCGCATCTTCAAGCCGGGGGTACCTCACGCACAACTGCACGTGAATTCGCGAGAACTCATGCATTACGCAGGAAACTAGATTTGCCCAAGATTTGCCCAAGCAAAACTCATTTCCGACTCAGTTCGAATTCACGAAACTAAGCACTCAGAACTCACGCATAACGAAGTCACCCTGGTGATGTGAGTTAGATAAGCCAATAAGTGAGCACCACTATCGTATTCACTGAGTTTCTTCATGAGTTATTACTGAGTAATGTCTGGCCTGAGTAAATTTTTTTTCAGTGTGAGACCTCTTCAGGATACTAGGTTCTGCAAGTTTCATCTCCCTATGAAAGCTGCTCTGGCACTAGGGGCGTTGCGAAGTTGCGACATCTGGGGACCGGGCAGAGGTTCACTTATGACGTCATAGGTCAGTGACTTGACCTGACCTGAAAATTCGGTTGGTGTCACAAGATTCAGCTTGAACCAAAGATCAGATATGCCAAGTTTCAGCTTTTTATCGCCGGCGTGGTTGGAGCTATCGCGAAAAAAAACTATTGGGGGGGGGGGCGGCACCCGCCCCATCCCCCTCTCGTCCGGCGCATATATTATTATCTCTATGTATAGGCCGGCGAGGCTGCGAGATCTTGAATGGCTGCGAAGTTGATGGATTTTCGGTGGCCCCGACTCCGGCTCCGGCTTTACTTCCATAATCGACTCCGACTATAAGTCAAGTATACTAGGTAAGGTAAGTAGGTATAAGGTAAGTAAGGTAAGTAGTACTAAAGTATCTAAGGCTAGTACCTACCTAATGTAGGTATAAGGTAAGATGCCCGACGCCCGTCCCCGGGGCGGGGGCGTCTTACCTCACTCTCCCCTATATCGTACCTGATCGTACCACCTAATTACACTGATGTACTTACCTACTCTGACTTACACTAACACGATAACATTGTGGTAGGCCAAGCCTATATTATGTAAAAAGGGGTAGGCCCTGTATATCGCCGCCCACAATGTTGAGCATATTCAATGTGCGATACAATTTGAGGCTCAGAAGAGAGAAGAGAAAAAAAAACAGCGTGCTTGGGATGATGCATTCTCTAAGATGGCACAGAAGCGTCTGCTGGACGGGGCAAACCAGGTGGTCCGGGCACGTCTCCTTGCTGCCGCAGAGCCCCACACCGCTGCCTGGGCGCAGGCCCTCCCCGTCACCAGTCTAGGGCTCCACCTGGATAACGAAACTGTCCGGGTAGCGGTGGCGCTGCGTCTTGGGGGATCAGTATGTGAGCCACATAACTGTCAGCTCTGCCATCGCCCTGTTGACCAACTGGGACACCACGGTCTCTCCTGTGCCAAGAGTGCTGGCCGCCACGCACGTCACGCTAACCTTAATGACGTGCTACGGCGAGCACTCAGCAGCGCAGGACTTGAGAGTGTGCTGGAGCCCACCGGCCTTGACAGAGGAGATGGCCGACGTCCCGATGGGATTACACTCTTCCCTTTCAGCCGGGGAATGAGCCTCGTATGGGACGCTACCTGCTGCGACACTTACTCATCAACGGCCATCATCAGCTCCGCCTTGAATCCTGGGAGCGCCGCCCGCTGTGCGGAAGAGCGCAAGCGCACCCGATATGCAGCTCTCTGTGAGCGATACGTCTTCGTCCCTTTTGCGGTCGAAACGTCTGGTGTGCTGGGTCCGGCTGCAGCCGGTCTCCTGAAGGAGCTTGGCCGTCGACTGACAGCCCGCACCGGCGACAAGCGCGAAACAGTCTGGCTCTCACAAAGAGTCTCCATCGCCGTGGCCAGAGGTAACGCTGCCTCTGTGCTGGCCACAGCCAGGCCAGCAGTGGGCACCAGACCGGGACCGTCGCCGCCGCCATCGTCCGGACTGACCCCGACCAGGATCCCTCAGTCACTCCAGGCACCGGAAAAAGAGCCAGTTGCGGGGCCGCCACTCGATTCAGAGGCTGATCCGCCGACACACCCACCACCACCGACCCCTGCGGACGGCTTTCGTGAGGAGCGACGCGTGACACGCTCTCGGTCCTCCTCTCTGTGCTGCCCCGGAGCATGCGCATGTCCCACTTTCACAAGTGGGTCCAGGGCTTGAACGCTCCGAGACATGCCTATTTTTTTATAGTTGCTGCGATGTTTAAAAATACCGCTACTGTTGTCCGTTTCCGTTTGCGCTAAAATCCTGTGCCAATGCTGTGTGCTTGGTTCTGTTCCCGGTGAAATATATCACTGTGACTGGAATTCTTTTCGCATCAATCGCATTCGGGAGGTGCGTGCGATTGATGCGAGGATGCTTCCATGTATTTGAATAGGCTCTCGCATGCGATTTCCTGACTGCCGAAAGAGTCTGTTTCAGGCATTAGCCAACTTTACATAGGTATAGCGCTCGTTCAGATGACTGATAAAAAATTTGAGGCTCCTTATTGACGACGAATAAAACCCATGGCTTTTAATAATCGAGTAATGTTTAAAAAAAAACTTATTACTCTTTTAAGCTGGTATTTATCAATAAATTATATTTTTTGGAAAAATAAAACATATTTTAGTTTCATTTTAAAGCTATTTATATGCATATTAACTTTCAAAAATAAACAACAATTTTCTGCTTCATTCACTAAACTGTTGTTTTTGTTACTGGTTCAAGGCCACGTAGGCTCGCGGCTCGCTGCTGCAGCGCTGCTGTGTTGCAAATATTCCAGCTAAATGCATTTTTTACCGAATAATAGTTGAATTTAATGGCTGAAAAGGATCGCCCAAGATCTGAGTACGATTACCAAGGTGGGTTTTAATTCAAAAGTGGGCTCATGCAATACCTAATATTGGCTATCTACCTGTGCTGGCTCGTGGCTGCAGTCCAGTGTTTGCATGGCCCATGCTTACGATTTTATGTTTTAGGTACTCTTAGTGATGTTTTGGCAGATCCGCAAGCGTACGTAAATTGTAAAAGACTACTGCCTCGGTGCCTTTGTCACATTTCGTTTCTTGTCTTTTTTTTCAGAGGCGCTGGCCTGGTGAGTCCGGCGGCGGGTGTGGCGCGACCACTTCAACTTCGAGCGCTTCACATCGCAGCCATTGGTCCCTACGGTTGTCATTCGGTCCCGGCCTATCGACCTTCCAAAACCTCCCATCCATACAAACATTCAAATTTTCCACCGCGCCGATCTGTACACTTCTTACACCTTTTTACGCCCAATTTAGGCGGCAGTGCACACATTTCAGCAATAGTGCAGGTGATTTCGACAGTACGGCATAGTCTGCCTAGTGCCTATGGCGAATCGTCGAAATAGGGGTAGGGGTAGTGGTAGGGGTATAGGGGGTAGTGGCATTGGTAGTGGTAGTGGTAGAAGTGTGGCACAGGCTGATCCAATGTGACACAAGGTGACCTATGTGACCTGGCCTGACCGAAGGTGACCTGACCTGAGTCATTGTGTCCAAAAATGAGCCCCTTGACCCGACTTGACCCCGTATCACCTAAATTTTACCCATCAAAGCCCTCAGAGCAGTCCTCAAGCTCAAAATTTCTCCTCTTCACATTTCCGCTAATATCTCTGTTTCTAGACGACACATCGATATGAATCGAACAGCATTCGAAAGAAAATTGGCTGGTGCCGCATTTTATGACCACGTCGCGAAACAAGTGGCGCAGCCGCTGGTTTAAGTCTATTGAGACAGTTCCCACTGGAGCAGCCGGTTTACCTTTCAGCATTGATTGCGGCGATTTTCTTTTAGCGTTTTTCTTCAGCCTCTCATGTTTAATTTGTGGATTAATGGATCTATGTCAAGGCCCCCTACCACGTCAAACATGGAGAGTGAGCCTGTACTGCTCAGTGCACACCTACACGCCCGTACCGAATGTTTTCATTTTGTGTGCACCTGCGCTCTGCAGCCTGGAGTCGGTGCGAGCGACTTTAGCGAGTGTCATTGGAGCGAACGTCATTTGAGCGAACCATTTTCAGCGACTGGCAGCTTAGCGAATATCAAATTGAGCGATTATCAAATATAGCGATTACCAGTTTAAGCGAAAGCTATGTTTCAGCGACATCTTTTTCGTCGACTACAGTTTGAGCGACTGTCATTTCAGCGAAACACTTCATCGTCCCGTAACGGTGTATTTTTTTTTTGCGAACGTACGTACAACGAATGTTTCCGGAACTTTCATGATTATCCGGAACTGGATGGCGGATGTCACGTTCAAAGTTCAGACATTAAGCTCCAAATTTAATGCCACATTTCTCAAAAATTGCAGCGGCTCGATTTCACCCCCCCCCCCCTGCTGTTTGCCAAAAATGATGACCAAACGTATGTTCAGAGATTCATATTGCTTGTGCTGTTTTTCGCGAAATTCCCGCGCTTGAATTTGGATCAGTTCCCCATGTTGTACAATTTGTTCTTGCCCCAAGCAACGTACGAATTTCCAGATATTTGGGTGAGGTCCCTGAAACATAGACTAGATCCCCCTGTGCCGTCCCTCGAGTTTATTATTGGTCCTTGGCATTCCTTCCGTCGTCCTATCACGTTCCACATTTCCAGATCAAGGTTGCAGAATGAGGCCAGATATTTTTGTGGTTTCCATTCTTAAAAGCAAATTTTTAATTTGGCGCGCGCAGCTTGAAGCATGACACATACCAAGCGGGTTCCAAGGGCAAGAATTTCCGAAGAGTAGCAAATTGACTTCCGTCGCGTTCGGTTTCGCTGTAACTGTGTTCGCTCAATTGGTCCCCCATTGACCTCCACAAATTCGCTCAATCTGGTTTCGCTGATTCTGGTCCTCGCTTAAGTTGATAATCGCTGTGATTGAATTCGCCGACTTGACAATCGCTGAAAGAGTCAATCGCTTAAATTGATAATCGCTGGAAAGGCTTCGCTCAAATGTCGTTCGCTGAAATGACGCTCGCTCAGGTGTCGCAGAACCGCCTGGAGTGTATCCAACAGCTGGTCGGGGACGGTTCAGACGTGGCCCGCCTCGACCCATTGCTGATGACGTCATTCTATGAGCGGCTGACCACCAACCTGGCCCGGCTGAGGGCCGCCGAACAGCATCCTCCGTTCAGGGTGAGTCGGTGCAGAGCTCCCAGCGGCACTCCTTCTCCCTTTCAGCATGGGACAGCTCAGAGAGCTGCGACCGCCGAAACTGCAACTCAGGGTGAACTGAGATGAGATAGTTCAAAGAACCCCGAAACGAAACGGCCAGGTTTGGGATGAGGCGGTGAATACAGTCCAACGGGCCCCGGAGAGCATGCCTCATTTGGGGAATGACGGACAGCCGCGCAGAGCAGAGGCGCGAGACTCTGATTAAAAGCAGTCCCAGATCTAAGCGAACTCTGGAGGTTTCTAATCACAGTGGGACAATGCCGGGCGGAGACTGCGTGTGAGGCTGTGGCACGGTCTCTCTGCGCTCGGAGCTGACCGGCGGCCGACAGCGACACCTGCCGCTCCCGGCAGAGCGACAGAGCGGCGCAGCGGCCGACCGTCGGCTCCGGTACACGCGGCAACCGGCGGGAGCGGCTCCGCGCCGAGAGGCTGATGTGCTTCGCGTTCTGTAATTTTCTCTTTTTCTGTCATGTTTTTTTTTTTTGGCGCAGATTCTTAATTCTAATACTGATCGCCTTTTAAAGCATGAATCAAGCAGGATCCCATCATGGCGCGTGTCCCGTTATCACCTGTCCATAGGAGTCCCCGGTGTCTTTCGCCTGATGCACGCACATCCTCATGGGATCAGCCATCAAATCTCTAAAAATTCAAGCAATTATCGGAATTTTCTAAATATTCAAACCGAGCAGCGATGTTGACGAAGGTAGGACATATTGTCCTTTACGGAAAAAAGGAGCGATTATTACCGTATATCAGTGTATCGTGTCATTACGTTATTGTCACTGTGCCCACGTGTCAGTGTTGTGTCGTCGGGTCTGGTCAGTTTGTCGTTTGCGCTGACACCGCCGTCGATCGGTGGCAGGAGAGCCTGCAGGCGCTGTTGGACGAGTGTCAGCACCAGCAGGCCAAAATCCTGCGCATCTGCAGGAGGCCGCCGCCCGCCAAGGCCGCCAGCGCCGCCAGAAAAGGTAAGTGTCGGGCACCATGACTCCGGTTACGCACTTTGTGTGTGGTGTTGGCTTCGAATTAGATCTCACGCTGCCTCCCATGAGCCTCCGTTCGATTATTATACAGGTGCTCTGATTAGTATGACCTATCAAACTGGTTACTTTGGTCAGACAGCGATTACGCACTCAGGTCGAAATAACAGTAGGCGCACCGTGGACGTGCTGGTCGTCTGGGCCTTTCTGCTGTTATTACTAATTTCAGGTGTAGGTATGTAGGTGGGCTGTAATAAGGCAGCCTCATGCTGATTTGGGTAATTAGAGGTAAGTTAGTATCCTGACCTAATTGGTGCTAATTTATTGGCGAGATGTGTCACGCCAGGTATATTACATGTAGAGTGATTGATGAAGCGAATGTGTGTCGTAGGGCTACAAGCGTCAAACGGTATGCACTTCATTAGTCATCAAAGTCATACGACACTGGTGGTGTTAGCCTAATCAGGAACGCTCTCTGATGTTAGTAAAGTGGTCTTTTTCTGATATTTTACCTTCGAAAGTTTGTGGCAATCTGTGATGATGCCATTGAGTACAGTTTTGGTAAGATTGTTCTTACTTTCGAACATTTTTTTTTCCAGTAAATGTGCCGTATATTTGTTTTTATGTCAGCGATTCTTAACCCGCGCACCGACGGGGGGGGGCGGATATCCGCCCCCCTGAGGTTTTTCGCGAATAGCGGGAAAATCGCGGCGCGTAGCGCCGCGAAATTTGGTATGCCTATTCCCTCATTAATTTTACACATGGTGTGCAAGTTTGAACCCCCTACCTTTTAAGGTCAGGTCACCAGGTCACTTTGAATGACCCAACCTCAAGTCACTTTTTTGCAACTTTGTCACCGTGCCAGAGCTACAGTAGATGTCGGAGACCTTTGAAAGTCGCAGGATGTTATTAGGTCATTAGTAGCTACAATTTGTTTATCTCGGAATTTTGATATCGGTGACCTAAGGTCAGGTCAATTTCGCGACCTCCCCATTTTAAGTCAATGGGGGAAAAATCAACTCCCTATTCTTACCACTAAAACGGGTCGGAATGGCCCCATATACCATACATGACTTTATATACGATCAACCTTCACTACCTTGAGGTCTGTTTTGCTGTTGGGCAGCTGTGAGGTCATGTGACGTCATCAAAGGTCACCAAAGGTTTTTGGCCAATAACTCCGTACAGGAACAAGATACAGCCGCGTGGATGGTCTCATTGTGTTCAGCTCGTCAAGACGCATCGAATGATATACATGATGACCTCGAGGTCACGTGACCTGAGGTCAACCTTTGACCTTGACCTTTCGAGGTCAACATATATATCATTCGATGCGGATTGACGAGAGGATCACGATGATGCCCTTAGTTTGTTCCTATCTTGACTAGTTCGAAAGTTATTCGAGAAAAACTCTCAATATCTAGCGCCGCCATTTTGACTTTTTCGACCCCTGTGACGTCATCTTTGACCTGACCTGAAAATGACCTTAGTAAAAATTGTAGATCTTGACCGTGCGTATCCGATGCCGTTTACCGCTTGTCGCTATCTTGCTTCGTTCTCGAGATCTCAGGGGGGGGGGCGGTCATCCGCCCCCCCCCCGTCGGTGCGAAGTTGGCGCAGACCCCCGTCGGTGCGCGGGTTAAGATTGGTATTAATATGAAATATGTTTAGCGGGTTGCAATTCGTGCCAGGAGCGTTGAGCGCCGGTCTACGGTCCTAATAGATAATAAAAGGATGCGAATACCTGCTCTCAACCAACACTCGAGCAGAAGTATCCGCCAGCATCTCATGCTTTATTTTCTTGCAATGATTTCACAACTCGATTCTCCTGACGCTAATTCCATTGGAGTGATATTTGTATTTTCAGTTGGGAATCAGTGGTTCATACAGCACTAGTTGTGACAGTTTTCCGAACTCGGTGTCAAAGTGTGATCCTCCCCAGCGATGTCCAAGTTGCGGCCGATCTGCGACGCGCCGCTGACATATGTGGGCCCATATATCGTGTCGGCCGCGGGCGGTGGTCCTCGGGTGCCGGAGCCGTCAAATCACGCCGGCTGCGGCCGGTCAGCGGCGCCCACCGTGGCTCCGGGCTCTTCCCCGGGTTTCACGGTATAAATCCGACACTACTGGGCGGCGGCTACCCGTGACTCTATTCGAACCGACTGCGACAACTGGGTGGCATGAGCGGCCGCAGCCGCCGGGCTGTCAGGGCGGGTTCATGACGACTCACTGCGGGCGGGCGCCGCGGGGAAACACCCCGAGAAGTCGGTGACAGGGCCCTGGTGGCCGAATGGTCACAGTGCTGAGCTTTTCCGAACGATATTTGACAGTCATTTTACACTTCAATTGCTGAGTCTCGGGTGTACGAACTGTGATTGCTGTAATTAGCCATTCAAGTGTGTTATTTTGTAAATGTTGCATTGTTTTTTATAGTGTGAATTGTGCTTTTTGTAGTAGGAGTCGCGGCACCATCGGAGTGAGCAACTTAACAATTTCTAATATTTCATCATTTAGGGATAGACGAGACGTGACCACGCAGGAACACGCAGAACACCTTTCGAACATGTGCGAGTGTGGCCACACTTCGAAGGCATGCTACCTACTGTTACCCAAAATGCGTCTCTGACTTGTCCTGGCCGTTGTTACAGACACCAGCCCGCCGGAGACAGGGAGCCGCACCCCACCCGTCCCGTCGGCAGTCGGTGAGTCACGCCCAGCTGACAAAATCACGTGCAGGGTGTTCGTTAGGGACCGACACAAGTCTGAAACAAACCGGTCGCGGAGCTCTCAGGTACACACATGACACATGAAGGCGAAGCGTTATCACGTTTTGACGAGAGTTTCTTTTCTTCGTTCATTCGCTTAACGCGATACTAATTGTTGACCTGTGCAATAGTAGATGTGCATGTTTCAATTACCTTCGTGGCTTAAGTTGTTTTTGTTTGATCAGTAATCAGGTTACGCAAAGTTTTGTGTATTGTTATTGGTTGAAACTATAAAAAATGTCAGGCATCGATACATCGGCTGTCACTTATAAAATTGCATCACATTTAAAGTTCAGTTTACTGTTGAATTTGCAATACATTTCGTGGTTCTTGGGCGGCCTGTTCGAATTATGGGCCAGAAGTTTGTCACATTACATCAGATCTCCGTCTACCAAGTCTGACCATGTTTGTCTATAAAACAAATTTTATAGGGCCAATCTGCCATTGAATGGTGTTTTCAATTACAATGGCAGCCATTCATAGCAGTTCAAAAACACAGATTTCCCGAGTTTGCTGTGATTTCTGGCGGAAATATTTGGTTAGAAATCATTCAGATTCATGGCGCGTCAAGACGAAAAAGCGAGTTTAGTGTTGCAAATATAGTTTGAATGTTGTTTTGTGTCGCAGAATGTGGTTTAGGCTATTCCACACCTTCAATTTGTTTCGCTAGGCTTGTTCTCGTTCTAAACGTGCCAAAAGTCTCACTGCTCTGTCCAGCTGAACTATCCGTACCGTGTCCACTGTCCCGCTGACCCGTCTGTCCCGTGTCCCGCTGACTCCTCATCCCCTGTCCCCCCGTCCGGCAGACGCGGCGGTGCGGGACGGCGGCGGCGACCGGCGGCCGCTGGCGGCGCCCCACCGCTCCCGGCTCCGCTTCTCCGACGTGGCCGGCCTGGAAGAGGCCAAGGCGTCGCTGGCAGAGGCGGTCATCATGCCCGTCCAGTTCCCGCATCTGTTCACAGGTGACGAGACATATGACACCGTGACAGCCGCGGGCGACGAGACGTCGGGGGCGGGCGGGCCGGGTGTCGTGTCGGTAGGAACTCAGACGCTGACTGTCGGTCAGGGGGAGGGGGCAGGATCGGATATCGGACACTGCTCTATCGCGTGCCGGGGACCGCGTGGCAGACTGTTACGGCGACAAAACTACGCACAATTTGCTCCACCCGTGTCGGACCACGCGCGTAGTAAAACGCCAACGTCACTCATGGTCGTAGGCCCGCTTGCGTCACTTGTCGCATGCATTGCCTTGTGCTGTATTGTCCCACTACTTAGTCTCACTGCGTAGTACTCACGGGGACGGTATTGACTGTATAATTGCTGCTCATATGCCTACAAATGTTTTCATATTTAACGTAGGCTCCGTCTATCGTGACAAACTCGACTTTCTCAAATAACTACGTCCCCTAACTGACGTCACGGCAATGTAGACTGGTGCATGAGGGACAACTTGGTGACAAAGCGACCGCCACCAGACGCCCGAAAAGTTGCGGCTGCGGGTTTCCGGAGTGCTGACCGTGGCCGCACCCGGCGCGGACGGGGGGACGGGGGGGGGGGGGGTCTGGCGCCCGGCCGGCGCCCAGCCTCTTCTGTCTGGCCCGGTTTTTACCGTGGCCCGGGCGACGGCCGCTCCGTCGCGGTTCGGCCCAGTCCCGCCCGAAATAGACGGCAAACTTTTCTGTCCGCCGCGCCCATGTAAGGCCCATTTGCGTCATGTGTACCCGACAGCGTCACTGAGGGCAGAAGTAAGGCCCACTCGGCTTGGTTTGAGCGATAAATTTTGACACTGTTAAACTGGCTGTATCGTAAGATAAGTGTCATCGCTGCCACAGTGTGTCAGTTACTTTTATTCAAACTCAGTGTGATCACTTCCGTCAAACTGCGTGAGCATTTCCATAACCAGTAATGGATGTTTGGTATAAATTTTGTGTCATTATTTTGTGTTCCTGTTTTCACTAACTGGGCCACGGGACGGGGAAGAACGAAGGAAATAGTCTTAACATTTTTCGTCGTCTCTTGCCGAAGTAAATTTACAAGCGCCTGCTTTTCGGTACCTTCCGCTTAAGTTCATTGATTTTGACTATCTCATTTCACGGATTTTTCAGTTTTTCACTCAAGCATAAATGTTAATGAAGATGCACTTCGGTGGCAGCTTGTGCTTCGATAAACAAATCCGCGATCGTTACTCCCTTTTACTTTTATGTTGCGTTGGCCGTTGATATTAATGATGAAAGTCGTGGTTAATAATGAAAGTCGCGTGGGAGTTTTGAACGCACTTGTTGTTGGTTGCGGTCGCTTGCGGATGTATTCAGATGCGTACAGCAAAGATGCATTAATGTAATGGTCGGCCTATCTTTGGTCCCTTCATCCATCATCTGTCCTGTAATGGCTCCGGCCGACAAACTCCGTCCTCGTGGAGCTTCATCACCGGCCTGCCACACAGCTTTGGCCACAAATGGACCGTTTTTGTGTCAGTAAACATCCCAGACGAATAGATTGCATCAGCTTCAGCTGATAATGATGCAGCAACAAAACATATAGTGGGTGACTTGTGTCCATGTCCAGAGGAAATGGCGCAATCAGTCATCCGATGTCGAAAAATTCGATCCTCATCATTTATAATGGTCCCTGTTATCACTCATTTGGCCTGTAAATAGCATGCCTTGTAATGGTATCGATTTGATGTAATGTTTGTCCGAGGTCTTGTATTATGAACTTAACATTACAGTGCTAATTTTTTACTCTGAACGCCTTTACATTTTGTAAAAAAAAAAAATCGGACCGAATTTCATACCGAAAAGTCGAATTTGACAATATTCCAGTTGCGATTGCCGAGGTGTCTGGTCAGCTATGTGTTGCATGGTCCAAAGACTTTGGGCACTGCTGCTTATTCTGACCGTACCTTGTACTGCATACCATCGTTCTGTTGTGTGTGCAGACGATACCATGCCATGCACGAAGGGGGGCGTCCCCGTGGACCAGGGTACGCCTCTGTGTGCGTATTTGTATAGTCGACTACAGAATGATGTTCCACTTTTCACAGGCTATTATTTGCCTGGAGTGGTAGGCTGTGCCGCATCACAAGGGCTGAGTTCACAAATTATAGCTTTGTCCCAATGCTCACCATCGACACGCATAATTGCGTGATAAACGGCACAACTTAGCGCTCCGGTCAACTGATAGCTTCTGAGGAGTGGAACATCATTCTGTAGTCGACTATACGGACTGTACCGTGTATTAGCAGGTGGGAGCGGGTGGGGGTGGGGGGGGGGGGGGGAGGCGTCGGCCGTGGACTCGGATGCTGCTGTGTTTGTGCAGTTGTACGGGCCGTACCGTATACCGTATGCCTTCGTTCTGTGGTGTGTGTACTGAGTTAACACTAGACAATATCGTGTCTTGTACCGTAGGGTACCGAGCGCCGTGGACCCGGGAGTCTTGCTTTGTCATTGCACGGATCGTTCCGTGTACCGTACCGCTCGCACCGTTTGTACTGTACCGTCACCGTGTATTACAGGTGGCCGCCGGCCGTTGACCCGGGTGCTGCTGTAATTGTTAGGGGGGTAATGGTTATGGACCGTACCGTCACCATGTATTGCACGTGGCCGGCGGCCGTGTGTCCGGACGTTATTGTGTGTATAACTGTACGACCGTACCGTGTATTACAGGTGGCCGCCGGCCGTGTATCCGGATGTTATTGTGTGTATAACTGTACGACCGTACCGTGTATTACAGGTGGCCGCCGGCCGTGGACCCGGGTGTTGCTGTGTGTTACTGTACGGACCGTACCGTGTACCGCCCGGCCGTGGACCCGGGTGTTACTGTGTGTTGCTGTACGGACCGTACCGTGTACCGCAGGTGGCCGCCGGCCGTGGACTCGGGTGTTGCTGTGTGTTACTGTACGGACCGTCACCGTGTTTTACAGGTGGCCGGCGGCCGTGGACCCGGGTGTTGCTCTACGGGCCGCCCGGCACCGGCAAGTCGCGCCTGGCGGCGGCCGTGGCCGGCGAGGCGGGCGCCGAGCTGTTCCCCGTGTCCGCCGCCGACCTGCTCTCGTCCTACGTCGGCGAGACTGAGAAGTGAGTTCGCGGGGCTGCTCCCCGTCGCTGTCACCCGGAACGGTCGGGAGGGCAGTAGCTGGTGCCGACGACGCCGTATTCGTGTGAGACCTGAGAGATACACGCCGTCCTATCTTGGATAATTCATATGCGGAGATATGATAGATATGTCGAGAGATCCCTGATCATTATTCGCATTGCTGCTCAGCTCTGGTCGCAATGTCCTAGGCCAGGATTTGCACCTCAGTGAACCGGACCATAACATAAGCTCTAGCATCCTTTGGAAACCAAAGCCTTAATCGTTGGGTCCCATACACTTCCGCGCGGCCACTGCATGTCGAATGGCGAATGCTGACTCTGGCCCGCCCTGCGATGATGAATAGGCATTACCGAAGTGGGTCATGGCATTCTGTTGGTGATTGGACCCGTAAATTGAAGTTTAAGGTTCGCTCCGCACGAGCACGTGCGATGGGCGCGCACGATTGAGGGTGTGGGATTTCATACCGGCAGGGAATCGGAGAAACCAATGAAGCAATAAAAATGCAATCCGGTACGCCACCTCGTCTAACAAATCACCCCAGCCGCAGACATTTCAGAGCGATAGCTTCGGACTGCGCTCATGAGGAAACTGAAACAGGCGTGCCTTTGATTAATTTGACAAATTAGCCTCAACATTACCGATACCGATGGTGACTATTATCATCTTAATGAAACAAACTTATTGCGAAGGAACGTAAATATGAAATATTTTAAAGTAAAACGAAACGAACACGCAGCGGAATTAACTCACGGTTTCCAACACGAGCGCCTGTCACCATTGCGATTTTTCCCATTTATAATATTGCATAATACCTATATTATCAATCGGCGCAGCGGTAGGCACCAGGTCATAGTGATCTGCCATGCTCGTTTGTTACATCACAGGCGAGTATTACCTAACTCTGACTGGCTTCCCGAATGTATGCTCTAATTTTATGGATGTTAGGTATGGGTAAATTTTATTTTTCTTTCTTAGAAGAAACCAATAAGTGTTCGCTTCTTGATACGAAATGCGTGCATGTGGTGATCTTCAGTGTCTTCAGCATGCTCGCAGTCTTGTTCAATATCTCTCCCCACAATTCCCAGTTGGTCTCCGCCCTCCCCCCGTCTCACCCCGCCCGCCCGTCTCGTGCAGGGCCATGTCGGACCTGTTTGCCCGCGCCGCCTCTCGCCAGCCGGCCGGCCGGGCCGTTCTGTTCGTGGACGAGCTGGACGGCCTGTGTCGCGTCCGCTCGGGCCGCGAGGAGGAGCACACGCGCCGGCTGAAGACGCACCTGCTGCAGCTGATGGACGGCCTGCTGTCCGGCGGTGGTGGAGGTGCGGCGGCCACCACCTTCCTGCTGGCGGCCACCAACTGCCCCTGGGACCTGGACCCGGCTTTCCTGCGCCGCTTCCAGAGGCGCGTCTACGTGCCGCTGCCCGACAGGTCAGTCGCAGTGCAGAGCTAGCTGTAAGGCGCTGGTGTGTCCTCTGCAAAGTGCAAGCTGCATGATACAGCTGCATGGATGCTGCCGATATAAGCATTTATTTTCTCATTACATCAAGGATTTACAGGGTGTTCACTAAAAATTGAGACAAAGTTTAGCAGGCTGTATCTTCGGTAAAAATGTACCGATTTAAACAAACGAGGCATTGTTGTAATGCACATTGCATCTGCTGCAAACCGTAGAGCGTCAACAGATTTGCCTGATTCCCGTAGGTCATTTTTTGGACATTTTCTTGTAAGTGTTTTCACAAGGTCTGGCACCAGTGGACCGTGAATTAGGCCAATTCATGGCGGTAATGAGCAGCCAGTTGATATTTTGCATCAAATTTAAAGACGCCAATATACTTAATAGCCTTCGGCAAATCACATTAGATACTCATTTGTTAATTTCAGTCGTGGCAAATGGCTTATCGGGCCTTGTTTAAATCATGCAATTTTTACATCGGCCGGAGCCCCCAAGGCGCCCCTTGATTAGTGTGCTGGCGCGAGGTCGGACCAGAAGATCACCTTCTGGTTACATATGTTGTTCTGCATGAACCTCTAGTGCTAAATAATACACTTGACTCAGAAAGTATCATATTGTAAAGGACCGGCCTGCAGGAATAAAGTCGAACTGATGATATGCTCTGAAATGACACACGCACCACGGCATCCAGCGTTAGCTTGGACGCTAAATGGACGTTAGCTCTTGTATCATTGATAACATCACTACAGAACACTCCATTGTCCAGTTAATTGTCGCCCTTTGACAATAACATGATTTTTCTTCCTTAAATAGATCGGTCTTTTCCTGCAATTTTTGGCCCCTTCTTGACCATTGTTTATTTACTTCTCTTGCCTTTTGTTGTTCCCAGTCGCTTCGAGAAATCATTTACGCCGGTTGTAACTCATCCTAGCCTCAGGTGTGATATATGTTCTTCGCTTAGGCACAGTTAATACCTTACTGATCGGCAGCATTGCATCGTGAGGTGCCAAAAAGCCCCTCCACGTGCATTTTCGGGGCCCCGACCTTTCCTTTGGTCAGTATCTTCACATTTGCACCACTTCAGATTTTCTGACTCCCACACCCACTAGAACTTTCGTCCCACCATACGGGATGTAACTAATTTCGACATTTTAAGCTTTCATTAGGTATTTGTACGTGCCAGACTCTCCCATTGACGTACTATTTTGGGAAAGCGTGCCAATTGGCCTTCGGTGGTCCTTATTTAAAACGACCTCCAACGCGACTGTTTTCATTACACCCATGAAATTTTATGCTCGGTATGATACAAAAATGTCCCTTTTATCTCCATGCTAAGTTGCATCGTAATAGCTTGCTTCACTTTTGATGTGCAGTCATTCAAAGTTTGTGTCAATTTTCAGTGAACACTATATATTCTCATTACATTTTAGCGTCTCTGACAGAGGAATCAGGGGACGCCAGAGCATCGCCTTTCTGTAGTAGTTCCCTCTCTAGCTCCTGCCCGCTTTACTGCCGGTCCTGTCCGGTCGTTTCTCTCATAACGCTCGTGGCGGTCACATGCCGCCGTCGCCGGCGCCGGAACCGAACCCAGTCAGTTCAGTTCGACAGAGTAGCGGCAGAGCGGCGCGACGGCGCGCGACTGTGACGCAGACACCCGTCCCCTGCACTGGCGTCACCAGCGGTGACGTCGGCGCCAACTTTTCACTGAACTCCGAATCGCCACTGGTCCGTGCCAGCCAGCCAAGTTGTCGCGTGCTCCATGACGAGACGCGTGGTCGGCCGGGGCTGCCCGGCTTCTGTTCTAGTTGAGCCCAATGGCGTGTCCTGTTAGCATTGCCGGACTGAATTTCATCGGACGTCGCGACATTTCCCTAATGCAACATGCTCGCAGAGATCGTTGTGCGTCGTTATGTCGCCGGGAGTGGGACGGGTATTGTTTCTACTTACTGGCCGTTGGTGGTGCACATTTCAGTGGTGCAAATTTCAGTCCACGGAACTGGTGGGCGTGAGTGTGGCAGGGCAGATAACATGTCTGAACGAGAACTCATCGGGTTTTGTCAGGGAATCTAGTGCCTGACGTAACTTGCACCCGACAACGGGTCGGAAGGTCACTAATATATGGTGAATCACGATCTGGGGGCTAAAAGACGACAGGTGGGCTTATTTCTGTTTTCGCCCACGATCATTGTAATTTCAAATAAATAAGAATCCATTCCGTTGTCAAATAAATCAAATCATACAAGTTCTGTTCTTCATATAAATTCAACAGTCTTACGAATGTTAATCAGTCCTCTTCCCTCCTTTGCACACACGCCGCTTTCATCGTCATTCTCCTGACTGGATGCGTTCATTTGGCTAGATGAGTCACAACTCACGCTACAGTCAGACTACTGACTAGACTGTAGTAAATGCATACCGTACCTATTAGGCCGGTGTGTCTCTGTTTATGAGTACGGCTGATGTCACTGATGTGCAATACTCGTATGCACTGTATTGTGTGTCGGCAGGGCAGCTCAGCGGCGTCTGATCGAGCTCCACCTGGGCGGTACGGCCACCAGTCTTTCGGAGCTCGACTGGCAGCAGCTGCTGGCCGGCACCGACGGCCTCTCCGGCTCCGACCTGGCAGAGCTCACCCAGCACGCGCTCTACCAGCCGCTGCGTGAGCTCGAGACGGCCACCAGCTGGCGACGACTCGGAGACGGTGCGTTCGGCCAGCGGCTTCCACGCCTTTCATTTTCCAATACCATTTCCCACATTTGTATCTATAGAGTTTGTATGCAGAGTTTCATCCAGTTTCGCTCCTTGACACATATAATATGCAACGATGAAATCGATAAAGCTAATCCTCTTGCATATGGGAGGTGCTAACGGAGCCGGTAATCACGTGAATCGTGATGGCCGTAATTCATCAGTACCATTCATAAGTTATGAAGTCGGCGATGGGTCAGTTTGCCAACCGTGTAATATGGAATCGTCTCGACGGTAGGCAGGCACGATCAGCTGCCATTTATTGATGGTTATCAGATTTTCATGCTTGATAATGGGCTGAAAATGTTAAATGCTGACTTATGATATTAATGTCACGGACTGAATGAATTGAATTGCAGCCGTTCGACGCAGTTTGGAAAACATTTGTTAGTTTCGACCAGTTGCAGATACCATTTGTCGAATGATAGCGAAAGCAAATGATGGAGGCATCAGTAGAACGATGATTCATCTGAATGGACATAACGACTGTCTGCATCCCTTTCAGTTGGCTACAGACATACCGCGCCGCACAGATGTTCTTACTGCGCCGTAAGTATGAACACACGTCTTAGGCGCCTAGTTTCGGTCCCCACCCCGGTCAGCTGATGTGGCAGTCGGGCCTGGGGAACTGTCGGTGATGTGGTTCGATTGAGCTTTAAGGGCTGACTCATACCGACCCGCTGGAGTCAGCGTTAGTCTGGGTCTGTCCCAATGTGTAACCGGACTAACGGTAATGCTAGAATCGGTAATGTAAGATGCACCCACCCGAAGGAAGAGCAAGAGTAACGACCGCCGATTTCAGTGGCTAGCACAAAGTCATACAAAACACAATGGCCGGTTATTTAATACACTGACGAAAAAGTGGCATTCAGCTTCCCAGCGTTTCGTGCTGGTTAATGACCTTGACCATGACCTCTCTGTAAATTATTCGCTCGCCGTATTATATATCAGAGTCGGCGAATGGTTGGAACGTCCGGAGATCTATTTCAGCTTCCGCTTTAAAGCACAGTGCAGAAGACTTCTAATGGTATGTTTCATTCACCGATTTATCAGGGTCGCTGTAAGATGAACCACGGCACGCACCTCAGTTGCAGGCTTAAAACCTTCCTCTGCTAAATGTTCCGTTTCACCATAAATAGCGTGCATTAAGTTTGAACAGACACTCCTAAGGGCGGGCGAACTATCTTTATCGGAGCCTGCTATACCTACGTGCGTGTATCAGTATAATGTAAATATATGCTGAGCAGCACAGGGTTCACCACCCTTAAAAGCAATGTCGAACACACTGCTATTCAATGTAACTCATGTAGATTTCTTGGAAGAAGCCACGGCTTTATGTTGCGATTTGTCGGTTGTCCAGAGCTGGTGGCGGCTGTTGAGTGACATTCCTATGACTATTCTCCGTGATTGCTCTCCTGCTGATGTTGGAGTGATAGCTGTGGTCCCGGCTGTTATCTAGGTATCCATTACAAATATTAATGTCCTTCTGTTGTCTGGTTCTTGGCCAGCTGTCTGTGAGATCAATTACACGGCTGTTGTCTTGTTCTTGTCCGGCTGTCTGTAGGGTCGGTTGTCTGGTTGTTGTCCGATTTTGTCCAGTTGTCCGTTTGTTGTCTAGTTGTTGTCCAACACTCCGTATGATCAATTGTCCGGCCGTTATCCGTCCGTCCTCACTCTCAGCCGTCGGCCGGAGGAGCGGGCGGTGCGCCCGTCTCAGTTTACGGGTGTGACGGCGCTAATGGCGCTCCAGGCCTCGCACCGGACTGACCCAACATTCCCAGGTCAGTCGCCAAACTGGCCTCGCCGAACCGGCCTCTGTCTGCACCGGCCTCACCGAACCGGCCTCTGCCCGCACCGGCCTCACCGAACCGGCCTCTGTCCGCACCGGCCTCTGCCAGGCCTCGTACCGAACTGACCTAACATTCCCAGGTTAGTCGCCGAACCGGCCTCACCAAACCGGCCTCTATCCGAACCGGCCTCTGCCAGGCCTCGTACCAAACTTACCTAACATTCCCAGGTCAGTCGCCGAACCGGCCTCGCCGAACCGGCCTCTGTCCGCACCGGCCTCACGAACCGGCCTCTGTCCGCACCGGCCTCACGAACCGGCCTCTGTCCGCACCGGCCTCACGAACCGGCCTCTGTCCGCACCGGCCTCACGAACCGGCCTCTGTTCACACCGGCCTCACGAACCGGCCTCTGTCCGCACCGGCCTCACGAACCGGCCTCTGTCCGCACCGGCCTCACGAACCGGCCTCTGTCCGCACCGGCCTCACGAACCGGCCTCTGTCCGCACCGGCCTCACGAACCGGCCTCTGTCCGCACTGGCCTCACGAACCGGCCTTTGTCCGCACCGGCCTCACGAACCGGCCTCTGTCCGCACCGGCCTCACCGAACCGGCCTCTGTCCGAACCGGCCTCTGCCAGGCCTGGTACCGAACTGACCTAACATTCCCAGGTCAGTCGCCGAACACGATACATACAGCCAACGACACTGCACACAGCACGTGGTTACGATGCAGATACCGGCGGACCGGACCCACCTGCCATTCCAACGGTGCCGGGTCCGTAGTGTTGCGCGGAGTCCATGGTCCGCGTCCCGCTCTGGCTCTCACCACCGTACCGTGCACGATAGAGGCTGCGTGATGCCAGCACACGCACGCTATCCTACCACACACGCGCAATCACACCACCAGACGCGCCACTCGCGGCCCGCCTCTGTTGTCACCGCCGTCCCCTCTCACTGACTGACGTCTGTCCTCTCGTCCCCTCCCTCGCCCTCCCCGCCCTCGCCCCTCCCCACGGACTGCCGCTCCCCAACCCACCTCCGACCCAGCTGGTCTTCACACTCCAGAGGGGCCACTAAACTTTATTAGGGGACCCTAATACCGATTATAGCCACCCGCTCCAGTCGGCGGCCGTTCTCTGAGCCGGGAGCCGGCCCTGCAGACGGGCCGAGCTCTCACTGACGGAGGAGCGGTGCCATTAGAGAGGAGACGTGACCCACTCTGAAACGGGGCCGCGCCGCCGGCCGTGAGACGGGTGCTCCAAATAAAACGGAACCATTCCATGTCGGAGAGGTTCGGGTGATGCAACAAACAATTTGTTTGGTAAACGTGTTTGATCGGCACATGGTGATTGAATCATGGAATGACATGTCAACATTCTGCTTACCGCCCCGTCATAAAACATGTTTATCTGGGAATAGGTCTGCCCTCGCGGACCAATCTCGTAAAATGCCATTGGCGTTGACTGGTCGGGACGGTTTCAGCTGTCCAGTCCGACAGCCGGCGCGGCTGTGTCGCGACATCTCCGTCCCTTGCTCCCTCGGGGGCCACCGACTGCCAGCTCTCCCGCAAACGATTGCGCCGCTATCTGGCCTAATTCGAAAATTGCTTCTGAATAAACGGACCGGGCTTATGTCCGACGTCCGATTTCGCAGTGCCCACTGGGAAGGGTTGTTATAGATAGCCAGAGATGGATATACCACACTTAACTGCATCGAGACAGCTGGACAGCAATTGCTGGATGGGCTTTTGTGCATTTTTTTTCTGGTATAACGACCAACCAATAAGCTGAATCACTGGTGCTGAATGTTGCTGCCTTTGCGTGTGTTACAGGTCAGTTTATGGTGTGCGAGCCGAGTCACCCGGACGCGTTCACCTGCTCCGTGTCCGACATACCCTTCCACGCGGTGAGTACGCGTTAATACTGTGCATAATTGCATGTACAAGGCAATTTGTGTTCCCAAATATTTTTACAATGCATTTATAGTTTATACCTATGCATACATGTACTTACATCCCAGCCCGGCCCGACCGGCGCTTCCGAATGCCGTCTGAATAGGCCGTTGAATGTTGCAAAGGCCGCTGACGGCCTATGCAAATACGAGCGATTGTCACTGTCGCTCTGCCGTAAAGCTGGTTTATGTGGTCTTATTGGTATCATCAAACCCGAAACGTTCGCGTGGTCGGGCCGTTGCCGCGTGCATTCACGGTCATGTCAATCTTAGAGTGGCCCCGATCGGGACGGTTCCATTGAGAGCCCTCGTCTCATTGACTCGCTCGTATACAATTATACATATATCGATAACCTTCTGGGACGATCATCACTGATAGCCCGTGTCTCCGGGTGTCAGCTGGCTCTTCCTGACCGGGGATAGAACATGGGGACTGGGGCTGGGACTCGGGAACGAGCCCTCCATGAGTCCCTGGTGGTGCCGCACGAGATGGGGACCCCTTATACTCGACCCCAGGGGTCTCTGGCGGGACCACAGGAGAATATGTGCGACCGCCCAATGATCGGTGGCGGAACTTGATCAACTTAAATGCTATTTAAACACCGGAAGCAGCATACGTTTACCTGTAACTAACTGATCCGTCGCAACTATATTTGGTACGCATTCAGGTCGGATATTGTTCATGCTATTAAGTCTATTAGTATGTAAACTGTCATGATAATGCGTACTTATCGAGTCCGCTGATCGGTTGGCTGTAGCCAGGGGCGGTGACACCCGACACTGTGTGTATCGTCTCTCCCGGATCCCGGTACCGCCGTGTCTGCCGTCCCACAGAGCTGGCCAGACGTTCATTGCATAACCGCTGAATGCCGCGTATGTATGAGGCTCAGCGACAGGAGAGCCCCTGATGGCAGTGTGTGAGACACCGGCGGCCGCACTACGGGAAATGAGACGCAGCGCTAAACGAGTGTGTTTGCTGCCGCCAACGGCCTTCTACAAATTCGGGTTACCCGGGGAACACTGCAATGTGCTCACCCGAGCCAGGCACATTGTGATAAGATTAACATATTCTTCCTATATTCACAAGCTTTATGTAACTTACGACCCTTTTGAAAACGATGTGAACTTCTTCTTTTTTAGAAAAGAGTCATTGGGAGCTATGACGACTCACCGAAAAAGGCCCAACTGGGCTGAATATGGGCTGTCTTGACTGACATCAAGTTTTAGAACGTCGTATGTCGAAATGACCTTTCTCTGTAAAAGAAGCGCTGGAACGTTGGTGTGGCGTCGATTTTTATTCTTTCATATACTACACAGAAGCTCTGACATGATACATCAGTCATTTTCATGGTCAAAAGGCCAACCCTGACCGTGGTCAAGCCAGTGAGAGAACAGTGCAGCGCGAGCAAGGGGGGTGGGGGCGCTGTCGTTTTCGAGCTATGCGTCGCAGCATAACGTCAGGGGTAAACCACTCGTGCCATCTAGGGGCAGGACTTGTAAGCTTCGAGACCGTACCTGCCTGGCTGAAGCGTTAGTCGTGACTCATACGGCATACCAGTACAGGCCTGAAGCTTTTGCAAATAGCTGCTTCCGGCCCTACACTAACACTAACCAATCTAATTAAGTCTTGAGGAAAACGATGTGATTTATGTACACAGCTACGCCCCTGCGTTTGATGTTCGTTGAAATATTACGAAATGCTGAACTAATACGAACTAACAATACTTATAGTTAGACTGGTGAGCTGGTGCAAACTGGTGAGCCGGTTCGATACGTCTTAGCATAGCTAGATATCTCCAAATGCACGTAAATGAGCTATTCTTTGTAGACTGCTTCGAATTCTAATTAAGTTCAACTCAGCAGCCGACTCGGTAGACACATGATCTGCCCATAATGTGATCACTGATTATCTCTTGCATGGACCTACGATGTACATGGGTACAAACATTCAATCCAAGTTACATACATAGACTAGTGTACTCGCTATCCGATGTTTGATGCGAACATAAGATTACAAACATATCAATCAGCCAGTCACTCGCTGCGTTCGCCGCACGCCATAGCCCGTCATTGCCTGGTGCATCATACCGACCGGCGCACTGCTGCAGGGAAATTCAGGTCACAACCATTTGCGCATTGTCTGGTAGCGAATGCTATATAGAACTGTCTGAGCGGCCAAGCCAAGTTCCATTGGAGGCTGAGAAATTCGGAACTCTTCAGTGAAATGGCGACCCGAAAGTTATCGACGACAATGCTTTACCGATAACTACATTGCAATGGATTTGGGGACGTATTGTTGCATTGCTAGAACAGGGGCATTTGGGAGGCTCGGTATACCAATGAATCCCTGCTGACAATTGACCAAATCAGATGTGATCAAATGACTGTCTCGTTGATATATGGTTTATACCAACGCACATTTTCAACGATGCGACTTCGTTTGTGTATTTCCTAGTCCATCACTGTCCTCGCTCACTCTGTATTTGTTTGACAGGTGGTGGCGCGCGACTTGCAGCTCTCGGATTTCCTGGGTGCCCTGCGCACCACGGGCCCCTCGGTCAGCCAGGAGATGCTGCGGAGGCACGAGGAGTTCAGCAAGGGCCGCGGCAGTGCCACCCCACTGGGATAGGGCGGCGACTCCGACCGACTGCATCCCCAGCACGGACACAGGACGGCTTAGTGAGTTAACCCCAAGTCATGGTGGACGGCAGAGGCTCGCTCGCCACACAGAAAACGCTGCAGATGTCTTGTCTTTGTGAGAGGCGTGTTCATCTGTCGTGGACTGGACGGTGCTCATTCGGCGAGTCCTCCGGCCGGGTCGGTCGGGCGGCCGGCCTCTGATGAACCCTGCAGACTAGACAATGGAACTGTCCGCGTATCGGCCGACGCGATGTGTTTGTTGGCATTTGAGATGGTGGTCGCGCGCCGTAATATACTGCCGCCGGACAGTTTTTCACTGGGAACGGCTCGGGGCGGATGCGGCCCGACTTTATGGGGCGGGCGGCAGCGGTCGGGTGGGCGGGGGCGGGGGCGGCAGCGTGGGCGGCGGCCGCCCGCCGCGGTCCGGAGCACCAAACAAAGTGGCTGTCCCATATTTACGGCCCGGACGACGATTTGGGAGATAGGGAGAGTCGGGACGGGACGGGACCTGAGATCAGAGGTCGGGAAGGGACCCGAGTGTTGGAAGCCATAGCTGCTGGAGACGAGAAGCGTAGAAACGGAATTTGCGGCATGAAATGTCATCACATTCAAAATGGCCTTACACTGTAACTCAGAACCCGCATATTGGGCTGGGGATTCAAGCTACATGGAACGTAGACGAAGAGGTGGATACCGACTCGTAATAAGTCATAAGACATCAACAGGCGCCCGCGCCAGGGACGAGGTTCAAAATATCGGAACCGGGTCGATACTGCTCACTGCACAGACCTACTGTAGAGACCTCGAGGCGAGCTGTTGGGTTGTGTCGGGGCGGGCTGCTATGCTGAAGTAGACTGATGGTTGCAAGGCTCTCCGGGCAGTAAGGGGGATGAACTATTGCATCAGCCCAGCGGGCCGAGCGGTCGTTTTTGCCGTGTGAACGCCCCTGCATGGCGCCCGACGCCGGATATGACGCCAGCAGCCCTCAGAGCGCCGTCCGGGCGGACTGTGAACACCCAACGCCCGGGCGGCCCAGCAGACATCCCCGCCCGGTCGGTCTAGTGGGGCATCCGCCGTTCTGGCGGTCCAGCAGACATCCAATGCTCAGAAGGGCCAGTCCGAGGCCGGGACCTCGGGTTGCTGAAATGACGGAAGCTGGATTGCTTGAGCCGCCGGGCCTACGACGAGAGGACGGTCACAGCCGTGCTCCGAGGCTCGTAAGGAAGCCGTGCTCTCCAATCTGCCGCCGGGGTAGCGCGGGTGTCCGGTGTGGCCGCTGGCTGTCCGGCCGCGGGGGCTGAGCGCCCTGTCGGCCGTCCGATTATGGTGCCCCCGGCCGACACTCACGTCTACAGACAAACCTAACTGGGCGCGACACGGTCGGGGCCGCCGGCAGACGCGTAGGTTGGCCGTGCGACCCAGGCGACAATGGTCGCCGAATTTCAACGGTGGGCGTCTTTATGACGCAGCGTCGTCCGTTCCGAGCAATGTTCCCGGGTGCCAACCGAACGCAGCGGCTGGAGTGGTGCGCAAGAGCATGAGTTTGATACGCTCTGGATTAAAAATTGCGATGTGCAATGTGTATTCTCCGAACCAATCTGGTAGATTCCTAGTCCGATTGCGGTGGTGGGAGTCGGTATTACAGGGACGCCGCTCCGGGCAGGCGCCATGACCGCATGAGATGTGTTCCTTCGTCGCACACCACTGCGCACTGCTGGATATTTCCCATCACGTGATTGCACATGTGTAATGTGCTCGGGCATGCGTGTCGGTATTTGAGATCATCTGCCCGGAGCATCCTGCTCGAGCCGCGCTGCAACACCAATCGCCGACATCACGTAACAAACCCACGCACTGACGCCAGATGCATGGCCCGACACGGACGCGGTGGGCGCAATCAACAGTCGAGACGCGCATCGCATTGGCAGAGCCCCGCTCGGAGTTCACTTGACGCAGGGATACCAAAATGGAATGTGGGAAATTTGGAAAGCAATTTCGCAGCTTGCTAAGTGCGGTTACGTCATACATTCATTGCATTGCAGCTCTCGCAGCTGAAAGTCATCATCCAGTACAAACACCTGCGTATCAGGGCCATCCTTGGTCTGCCCCGGCATCAGCCACTGGGGCAGACCAGGCACACATCCAGTGTTGATGCGGCAGACCACACATCCAGCAGCGCGGCGCGTGCCCGGGCGGAGGCCGTCGCCAGCCCCCCAACCTCAGCCAGCTCAGTGCGTGTGCCCCCCTCCCCGGCACGTGTGCCCGCTGACCGGCGCGCTGTCCGTCCGTCCGTGCGGATGACGTCACGAACAGAGACCGTCATCTGCTGATGGCGGCGACGTGTCGCCGGCGCGGAGAACGCTGCAACAGGCGGCGGCCCGCCGACGGCTGCATTAGTGATATTGAGCGCCGGCCGGCCCGGCGGCTGCCCACTCGGAGACGGCCCATGGGCGCCTCGTCCAATTAGCCCAGACACTCGTCCCACGGCTAATGAAGAGTGGTCAACGAACACACGGCCTCCGACAAGTAGATTTATTACAAAACTAAAACAAGTGTGAATTACGCCAGCATCTTATCACATACGAGGCGGGCGGCGCGGCGCCTGGCGCTGGCCGGCCGGACCGCGCCGCTGCCGCCGCCGACCCCAGCCGGTGTTACAACACGACAGCGGGCTGGGCGGGCCGGGCTGCTCACATGAGTACATGGTTCTCGCAGGCCGAGAGATTTCGTTACACGAAAACCTCATCTTCATCTCGGTACGATCACGTCCGGACACACTATTCTTAGATGGGCGTCAAAGTAGGCCGAAACCAAGCGTTCAGCCAAACGCCTTGAAGCCGATATGGGACACAGAATGTGATGAGCGACAAAATACTTCAGATCTGACACAGATGAAGCGAACAGAGCGCATAACACATTACATTGAGAACAAGAGATTCTCGGGCAGTGCTACAATAACAGGCGCACAGGCAGCCACACAGGATTGGTGAAATCACATTATCCGTCGTGAATCGCTCCGACAAAACCCGCACAAAGAACCAGTACAGTAGCATGTGCTCGGCCGCGGCCGCAACCGTTTGAGCGTTGTTTTGAGTCTCAAGCGTTACAATTGGGCCATCATATTCGCAGTTACCCGCGACGGTCAACGTTAAACCGATCTCTCTATTATGCTCACGCAACTTATAGACGAACGGATTTCCCAGAAATCCTATACTTAACGCAAATCTAAAACAACGTATCTTACTAAAGCCTTGGACCCAGCGTGTGTTGTGAGCGCCGTTGGTTAGATCGCGGCCGACGGTGCGCGGTGCGATTCGTGAGCTCTCGTTACGTGTACAGATGCGGCGCGCCGCCGCCGGCCGACTGCCGCGTCAGATTGGTGACGGAGACGGACGGCGGCGCCGCTGGACGGGGCCGATTGCCGCGCCGCGCGGATAGACGGCCATCCGTCTGTGTGCGCCCCAGGTAACCGGATATTGGCGCCGGACACTGCCGGCCTCCGGCCACCTGAATTATAGTAGTCTTAGTGCCGCCGCCCACCCGTCGTACCCGTCCATCGGACGACCGCGCTAACTACAATTAAATATCAGTTCGGTGACGGGTGCTAATGTTGCTAGCGATGCTCCTTACTCCTTACCCTCATAAATCTATCCATCCTTCAACGATACAGACCGTTGGTCGTAACAAATAGGTACTGTCCAGGGTTCCCATGCCACTGCTTCAATAATCTCATGTTCCAAATCATCTTGGAAATCACGGTCGTTCTCCTATCTGAAAATACTGCACTCCGATTGCCATTCAAACTCCAAAAGCAACCAATTGCAAAGCGGCTTGGCCTGACCATCGTCTTTACCCCGCACGGTGCCTATGAGTAACGCGTGTCTTTAGCTGGACGGCGCAAACAGATCTGTGATCAAATCAGCTTCGAAGTGACTTCGACGTCCCGCTCGAACCCCGCGACCTGATCACTGGGGGGCATCAGGGGCGTTCCGGGCCTGAGACGCGGCTACGACCCTGTGTCACAGGGGAGAAACATCGGCCGAACACAGGAAATCCACGGAGCCACCACGGGTCGGGCGGTGCCGGACAGGGCCCATCTGCTGATGGCCGCGGGGCCGGCAGACAGTCCGTCCGTGCGAGCGCCGTAAACGGAGCGGATACGGGGCCACGGGCCGACATCGCTCACAAGTACGTGCGCCTGACAGGGGCCATTGACTGGCTAAGTAGCGGGGCCGGCCGGAAGAGAAAATTGTGCAGTACAGACAGCAGCTGCAGTTGGACCGGGGAGGGTACAGCTGGGGGTGGCGAGGATACAGCTGGCGATGGCGGGGTCAGGACCGAGGGCAGACCAGACAGACAGACAGGACGTCCGCAGATAGGGGGTGTTGAGCTTTGTGCACGATCCGCGCTGATAAGGAAGGGCAGGGTGACTAGGAAGGGTGACAGCAGGTTACAGGTTACCGCGCGCTACTGTGGCTGCTGTGCGGGCAGGTGGAGACCGAGACGGTGCCAGCTCCGTTAGCGGACGGCCCCGCTCAGTCCTCGAGCTCCTGGATGCGGCAGCGGACAGCCGTATCCACCACCTCCAGGCCGTGCAGGTCCAGTTCCTTGATCAAACACAGCACCGCCGACAGCACGTTCGGACTCTGAAAGCAGGCCGGCCAGGGTGCGCCGGTCAGTGGCGAAGCGCGGACGGCCCGCCGCGCCGTCCCGACTGACAGAGCAGCACCACCCAGCGATGGCGCAAACGGCAGTTACGCAATGGGAAGGAAGGGTTCGCACGTTGGCTGCGACGTGCCTGTGCGCGCTTAGACAGTGCAATCCAGCAGTGCCGACGCATTGCACTATTGCGTGTCATCACAGCTATTTCCAAACGGATCAATAAAGCGGAACTTGAATGACGAAGGGTCATCTAAATGATGTGTTATCAAACAGCAGTGAAGTTCCGTGAACATTGCTCAATTCTCTCCACAAGGCATTCACATCCTGGTCAGAAGAATCGAGAAACACCGCCACAACCGCGCCGATTCTAAAACAGCACCGGAGATGAGTTCCAATGATTGTCCGCACACGCCCACCGCCAGGACCGCCGTTAGGTCGCGCTGAACGGCCGTCCGCTTCCGCGCTGTGTCACTCTGCTGTGATATACAGCCGGGTGGGGGAAGTGAGAGCCTACCTTGCGTTTGGGCCGGGCAGCCTCGTACTGCCTCAGCGAGCTGTGGCTGTGTTCACTGTACGCCTCGGAGCGACTGGAGGCCGGCGGGTCGGCGCCGCCCCGATACCCGTCTCCGTCACTGGCAGGCGTGTACCTGTCACAGGGAAGAGGGGCGGATCAGAGAATAGGACGGCCTCGGTACCCGTCTCCGTCACTGGCAGGGGTGTACCTGTCACAGGGAAGAGGGGCGGATCAGAATGGAGGGCACACAGCCTCGGTACCCGTCTCCGTCACTGGGAGGGGTGTACCTGACAGCGAAGAGGGGCGGATCAGAGAATAGGACGGCCTCGGTACCTGTCTCCGTCACTGGCAGGGGTGTACTTGACGGAGGGGAGAGGGCGGGTCAGAGAATAGGACACAACCCCGGTACCTGTCTCCGTCACTGGCAGGGGTGTACTTGACGGAGGGGAGAGGGCGGGTCAGAGAATAGGACACAACCCCGGTACCCGTCTCGTCACTGGCAGGGGTGGACCTACTACCTAACACGGAGAATATGACGTTCAGATGGGCGTTACTGTTCCTCTCCACTGCTATCGACTTGAAGCACCCAAAAAACTCATTTGAAGCTGCCTAGTACTCTCAAATTCACGCATCAATGCGTCATTTTAAGCAATGTTTCAATATCAGCACAATCCAAACGATGTCCCTTCAAATCCGGTCAGTGACATGAACCTGTCCTATGTCACCACGCAGCCGCACCCTTTCCTGCTACTGCGATACCCCCTCTCCCTCCTCCAGCACCCCACCCCTCTATCTCTTGCGGCCCCCGCCTCTCTCTCCCTCGGGACACACCCTCCTGCGTCGCCCGTCCCCACGTACTGTCTCTCTGGACTGACGACGGAGCGGCGTGCGCGCGGCGGCGGCGCCTCCTCCCGGTAGCCGCTCTCCCGATAGCCACTCGGCGGCTCGCGGTAGCTGCTGAAGCTGTTGCGCTGCGACGGAGCATCGCTCGGCGACCGGCTGTCAACAGCAGACGACCGCACACGTGAACACGGGCCTGTCTGATTAGGTTTGGCGATAGCACAAAGCACTTCGAGCCAGCAGAGTGTGAAACAGAAATAGCGCAAGAAAACCTTTATACGTGCGAGTTTTAGAACCATAAGTTGGTTGAAACTTAACAAAATTTGGCGTGGAAATAGGGAAACAAAAGAGCAGCTGCGAGCGATATAATGATGCCTTGCGAGGGATCGCCGGCACAAAACGAATCACTGTAATAGATACCACGATTTTGCGCTAAAACATAAATAATGCATTTTAGCCGCCCCAAGCAGGCATTTGCAATATGCATTACAAGCCATTTTCACGCAGTAATGGTCAAGCGCCAACCACTTAATAATTAACTCAGCCGCCGTGAATTGATGGTTGGAAGCCTCAATAAAGCTTCTTATGTCCTAATAACCTATCGTTAAAGAAAACACCGCAAGTTCCACAATAAGAGCACATGCTCAAGCGCGAGCTCAATGCAGTATGGGCATAGATACACAAACACACATTCAGTACATGCATTCCACTCCACACCAACACTTAGTACGACCGCATACACCCATTCGCAGACAGAGACAAAGACAGCAGGCAGTCGCTTGCAATTTAGGACACATATGACCAGGGGACGATAGCCACTTTCGACTGGCAGGTAAGTCTGCTGACTCCGGATTGTGACCAAGGCTCTAAAACTGAGACCGTGTTGCCACGCACATGTAGTGCCGGGTGAGTGAGAGGGTGTGTGAGTTGGTGGAATCTCATAAGACCTGGCTATCTCGACCAACTGATTGTAAGCCAGACTACGAAGTACGAACTGTTGGTGGATCAGATTCAGAAAATGTCAAACGACTAACGGCAGGGCCACGTCCTGCTACCCTTCCCAGTTCCCATTTCTCCCATCTACAGGGTTACCACCTGTCACTTACCAGCCCATCCGTCCACAACTCGGGCCTAACACCATCAGTTGACCGTCCTTCCCATTCGTCATCTCTACCAACCACAGGGATATCTGCCCCTCCCGTCCGGCATCCCCGCTCTCCCGTCTTCCAGCCATCTGCCACCTACACTGCAGGACCACCAGCCCTCCGTTCAACAACCCCTGCCATCTACAGGGCGATCTCAGCGACCCATGCAGCCCGCGCCCGTGCGTCGGCGTGCGGTGCGGTGGTACGCGGCGGTACACGCGGCCGGACGGTGACGTACTGTACTGGGCAGGTGGCGGCCTTGTACCTGTCCTCGTAGTACTGGGACGGCGCCGGTGCCGAGCCCGACGACGGAGACGCCTCGTAGTACGGCGGCGAACTCTCCCGGTACGGCGGCTGGAACACGGAGATGGGAGGTCAGAACACGGCGGCGGGCCAGACAGGCTGCTGCCGTTGCTCCTGGTATGGTCTTCGTGACTGCAAGGCGTGTTATGGTAGGAGCATAACCTTACAGACAAAAGTGATGTTATAATTATTGGCCAATGTTTTTTTATTTGAGCTCCTTTCGAACCCGGAATATTAAACTTTTGCCGATACCTTAACAGCTAATCCTGAATCCTTTGAGCTTCAATCAACGATTAGTCGATAAACCCTCTGCGAGGAATGGTAAAGTCCTAGCTTTTCACTCGCCTGCTGCGAGTAGCTGTGCTGCTGCTGCGACTGCTGCTGCGGAGGGTAGTAGTCGGGCGAGCGGGCTCTCTGCTGAACCGGCGGCGGCTCCGGGTCGTCGCTGTAACTCTTGGACGGCTGCTGCTGCTGCCGGGCACGGGCGTCAGCGCACAGTCAGGTCGGGTATTAAACGGACAGTAGGCTGGGGTTGGGAACCGGGAGGGGTTTAGAAGGGTACTGCGCTGGAGCAGGCTGCGGACGGGGCGGCAGGATGGAATAATGGCGGGAGAATTGACACACTAACGCCAGGATGATCTGTTTCCGTGCCAAAGAATAAGGGATCGCCTGTCTGCCATAAGCTTTTAAGCTAATTTTGTTTACCAATGAGCGCGAACTCAAATATGCGAACACATCATAAGCAACTAGAAACGCGTTTTGAACATACCGAAACCCGAATTAATGAACGAGAATAAACACCCTTGACAAACACTCGGAGACACAAATGGAAGCTCAAAGCAGGTAACAAAGCCGGTCCAGGATAAGTCAGCTGGGCAAAAGCAGGCAGCAAATGCAAGACAGGGTAATACTTATAAGGTAGAAACTTAGAAGCAGGTTAGAATGCAAGACAAAATACTAATGAACTGGTGATGCCGAAAGTTGTTTGGAATTATGTGGGAAAGCGAGCTAAGTGGATGACAAGCGTGGGTTACAGCCACGGTCACTCTCATTCGGGAATCACGGTGAAAGGGGGGATGTAACTACACACTAGCCTAAAAACCAGATACCCGGTCTCCATACACAAATTGTTTTTACGGAACATTTCACGTACACGTAGAATGCACAGAAGACATTGTAAAGGGCGCCACCCTCGACTTTCGCTGGGTTCGTCCACCTCGAGGCATATCAGACGGGCAGGGCGGCCGCGGTAGTTAGCACAGGCCGCATACCCACACACTCGCGCACCGCACACCATTCACGTGTTAGTGGGTTCAGGGCTGGTAGCGTTAGTACAGCCTGACGGCCGCGGGCCGAGACCCCGGCCGGCGAGCACAGACTGGGGCGGCCGCTGCCGGGCCGGTACCTGCTGGTATCCGTAGCTGCTGGCGTGGCTGGAGCGGCGCGAATCCGACTCCTGGCGACGGTACTGCTGCTGCTGCCGCTGACGCTGCATCTGTCCAGGCACCGGGGCCAGCCGGGGGCCAGGCGATACAGCACCTCTACGGGAGCGACCCCTATCGTACGGGAGACCGGCGAGGGCGAGCCCACGGCCGGCGCTACACAGACCACTATTGGGGATCCCAGCTGATCTGATCGTACCATCTTAGTTACAAAATAAGAGAGGCAGCGCTGAACATCAATAGGTAAAAACCACATAATTCGATGGAACACATTATTCACACCAATTAGCTCCAATGTGCAATGATCTAACAAAAACGTGCCAACACCTGCCAACATGCTGGCCGTGGATCGGTCGGCCGGCCAGCTAAACTCGCCGTTTTCACGGAGACGGTACCTTTCACGCTGGTTATCCAGGGACCAGACCCGGCCCGGAGGCGGGGTGCTCACTGCTCACCTCCATAGCATCCTGCGGGTGGACCAGGTCCTCGCCGTGGATCATGGCCTGGTGCACCTCCTCACTCTCGACAGGCGCGTTGTCCAGCTTCTGCAGGTGCGGCAGCGCGCGCAGGATCGCCAGACGGTAGCCCTCGCGCTTGGCGCACGGGTTGTCCGCCAGCCAGAGCGCCTTCAGCTTGGGGAGCTCCTTCAGGTAGACGACCTGGGCAGACAGAGAGTTAACAATTAAGTTTCTTAGCCAGATGTAGGCACCATAACCATAATGCAGTGCCAAGGTCTCCATCTATGGATACAAATTTTAAATAAACCTTGACAGTTCAAAGGTAAAAATTAACAACTTATTCATAAACTACAACATACCTCTACACTCCACAGACATAGGGTCTTTGACTATAATTGATGAACATTGACTTGTCATGAGGGTGGGAAGGTAAAGGTATAATTCTGAAGAAGAGCTTTGTTGCTCATATCTACTGGGCAAACTCAGCACACAATGTGTGTTTATACAATTAATTACCTCATTAAGGTCCTGAATGTTGTTCTGTCGAATGTAGAGCTCTGATAGGTTCTGGCAATGCTGAAAGTCAGCCAATGTGCTGATGTTGTTGACACTGTAAAAATACAAGCAACAAATGAGACAGCAACAAAACATTCTAGCATCCATTCAAATATTGAAGTCCAAAACATTGTATATTGCTGGCAGAAAAAAATTTAATGCATCTATGAAGCATAACCTTAAAAAATGACTGCTTTTATTGCACCATTTTACTGCTTAACTAGCTAAGCAATGTTAAAACTATGTGCTAGCTGGCTACTTATCATCTCCTGTTTCAAATAAAAAGACATGCTAGTGATTCTAGACAAATGCCTACACAGAACAGTGAACCCACCTGAGGGCTAGAACTTCAATATTTGGGAGCTTCCTAACAACTGCGACATCTGATATCTCACTTCCCCTGTGAACATAAACCAAATGGGGTCACCCACAAAACCACTAACCTTGAGACAATGTCAGTGGCAAAATGTCATGTCACCCAACTTGCCATCAGTGGCATACACAGCTATAGACTCTCAGTGCCCAAATTAAAGGTGATCAGTGCCCATGTGCATGCTATGGTAGACCAAGTCATCTGATTGCTTAGACCAAACAGCTAGATATGGAACACAACACAAGTGAGTTTTATGGCTCACATATCACAACAATAACTTGCAATAACTAGCACCTTATGGGAAAATACACTAAAAAGAAACTTATTTAAGCATTATTCAAAGTGATTGATTGTTAACTGCTCTCAAGTCTCAGTCGGGAAGGCAGCAAATATTGCCCTGTTATTAGATTATAAACTGCAAAATTTTAATTCACAGCTCATTTCACATTGGAAGCTGGAGTTCAATGTTATGATTCAGGATCTCTTGGTCAGCATTGACCAAAAGATCCTGCCTGTTTAGGCAGCTCTCATTTGCTTTTGAGTTGATAAACTGACCAGCAGTTGAGCTTCCTGATGCTGTTGAGCTCAGCTCCACGACTCCTTGCTACCACCATGTCTTCCGTCAGCTTCATGGCTGTTGTTCCACAACCTGACTTGCTCAACCCATATAGCTAGGAAATGAAAGAGAAATTTCATGAGTAAACACAAGGCAGAAAACAGGTGGTTCATCATCAGGGCATTTTACAACTCCTACTCAGTTATGATTGTACTCATGTTTGTTGTTTAACATTTGTTCCCGCAGTAAAGCCAAATACATGGAAGGCTGCTGTTTTTATTATTAGACACACTTCTACACGGACACAACACGACAAAGCAAAACGCACCTCAGGTTCTCCTTGCCTTTCAATCCTTCCTCAAAAACACCTCCAGACTGACATAGCCCCGTCTCGGTGGACTGGCGCCGGCCCGCTATCACCGCTTATCAATGCCAACTGTCGCGGCAGCCGACCTGACTCTCCGCGGCCCTGGATTGTACCATATTCATTTATTCTGTTTACGTTGCCAGGTGGTGGTGCCTCGATTTAAGCATCAGCTTTTGCACCACCACCTGGACTATTTGCTTATCTCCATTTTATGTCTAATAAATGTGTTTTGTTTGTTTGTTTGTTTGTTTTTCACATGCTTTATCATACAGAGCATTTAGCTTATAACAGCTATACACACAGCATGAACACTGAAATGTGACAGGCCTTGACTGTGTTTGGCCTACAATGACCCCACCATGCATAACACCTGAACACCTGTTCAGGTAACACCACAACTTTGGGCATCTTGGAATAAACCAGTAAAACACAGAGAGGCGATTCACATCAAAAATTGAAAAATGATCCTCAACTAAGAAATCCTGTGAAGCAAAGCAACTGGAAACAACATATTGATATAAGCAACACTGCTGACCACTGAGCCATAACCTGAACCGCTTCGCCACCAGCAGCAAAAACAGAGAAGGTCCCTTCTTCAATCTCACTCTCCGTACCTTCACACTTCACAGTACCGAAAAAATTCTTGAGTCCTATCTTAGGAAAACTGGCAGGTTAGCATCATCTAGTTAATGATTTCAGTAAGTATTCCAGTCCAAAGGACACCTATCCATTCCACTCATCACCTGAAAGAAATCACCGAGAAAGAAACATCAACAACATTTAGATCCATTTGCGGCGCGGCGCGCCATATTACGGCACGACTATAGTAGAGATACGACCACTAAATTCAGTGTATGTACCTAATAATTCATGTATTGCGTGCCAGCAAACAGTAGCGGCGGAATACCATCAGTTAAGGGGAAAGGGGGGGGGGGGCGGGGGGCACTGCCGACTTTTGGTCCCATTCTTTCCATGCAACGCCCATAGGGCTAATGTTAAAATGCCAAGGGGGGCACGGTGCCCTCCCCGTTCCGCCGCCTATGCCAGAAATTAGTAGCCGTAAAGGAGCTCTGGCACCCCTTTTATGCATGCAAGCCCACTTAACCCGCGCCCCACTGGGGGGGGGGGGGGGGCTATTTATAGCCCCCCCTCCCGTTTTTCTGCAATAACTTCCAAACCGCTTGACAGATCGACGCCAAACTTTCAGTACCTTCGGCTGCATCAATTTGACACCTTGTGTCAAAATTTAAACTTCGTAGCTACCATAGGTCGGCCGGAAATGACGTCAGAGTGACGTCATGTTCGTCCGATTTCGACGCAAAACATTGAACCACGGCAATCGCTCCCAAGAGCTCAGTTTTTAAGCTAGATCCAATTTCTTTGCATGAAAGAACTCAGAATTGACCGCGCTATCAAACTGCTATCTCGGATTTTCAAAATTTTGAAAATTTCGAAAATTTTATATAATAATATTCAAAATTTATATTTTTATATTTTTTTCAAATTTTTTTGACTTTTCGAAAAAAACCGGAATATATGTGACAGAACGCATGATTATGACTAACTCTAGCAAGTTTTAGCTAAATATCTTCAAAAATGGCCAAGTTATACGCATTATTGCAAAAAATTCACAATTATTAATTTTTCAAATCAATTTTTCAGTACGTATTTGGCATCGTACACCAATATAAATGGCACCATCGTGTTGCTGAGCTCAAACTGCATCCAATAGACACCTTTTTTGTTGAAAAATTTCAACTTCAAAATTTGACCTTTTTTGACCTGAAAGTGACCTGACCTAAGCTAAATTCGACTCAAAATGACCTCGAATGACATAGACGACATCAAATTCGAAATCTATGGCCTAAATGGACCATAAAACATGTGTCACGTGACCGACGCATGATATAATATTTTCGTGACCTGTGATGACCTGACCCTGACCTGAAAATCAAAGTACAAGTTTGGTACCCGCAAGGTATCTAGAGCATCTGTTCACGAGTGTGGAAACCAAAAATGAGCCTGATCTGACTTGTAAGACGGCGGCCAGAGCCCAAAATGTGAACAAGCCAAAGTGCTAATAATTTTTACTTTGACCTGACCTGTGACGTCATCGGTGACCTCGAGGTCAACGAAATTAGGTTTCGCTCGACAGTTTTTCCGGGGCTATCAGACGCCGTTTGAATTTTGACGATCGGCCCAGTAGTTTCGGAGTTAGGAGGGGGGGCTATGAATAGCCCCCCCCCCCCCCCCCCCAGTAGGGCGTGTTATACACAGACCCCAGTGGGGCGCGGGTTAAATAGAACGCCTAAACTACGAAAATTTGATCTTTGACAGTCCGAACAGTCAACAGTGCCATTTTATGGCTGGATGGGTAAGTTCATGGTCAGGAATAAAGGTGCCCTTTTTGGGGATCCCTGGTAATCCAAGTCGCTCAACCCTTCTCCAGATGGCCTTGCTCCAGATACCCACAACTATCCGCATGGGGAACTTCATTCGTAGCAGCCCGCAACAACCCGCATAGCAGCCAAAAAGCTTTTCCACTTTCTAGTCATATTTTTCCAGGGCATCTTACTGCGTATGTGTATTCTAGGCCTTCCTTCATTTTCCATTTTCAAGGGGAAATCTTATTTTGTTTTAGCTAAGAAGTTTCTGATATTTTTTATGCCCGCATAAACCCGCACCAGGGTATTTCCTGGTGATACAACCCACTTAAACCCATGCGGGTTTTGTCTACCCACTCATTGCGGGCTGGTGGGTCGAAAAAGGGCACCTCTAGTCAGGAACGTCGTACCTACAGCAGAAATGCCAGAAATGCGCTCGGTTGATGTGAAGAGTCATGAACCTTTCCGTCACCCAGTTAGTAGAACATCGGACTCCTAGTGGAAAGTCACCCTGACGGGCCTGACGTGGATGATCTGCGGTCAGTGGAAGCCAGGGTATATAGAACAACAGTGGAAGCAGCCAGTTGATGTCAGTGTAGGCTGGGACGGACGTCGAAAGACGGAATATCACAAATCACTTCAGAACATTCCAGTCATTTTTTGTCGGTTGGGTCAAGGGTTAGGTCACCAGAGGTCATCGAAGCTTTTTTCCGATTTTGACATTATTGGTACAAACTCGTGCTCGTCAACTAATAGAGCGTAGAAATAGTGCCCTATAGCCCTTTATAACTCTTTCGTCAGAATGTACCAAATCTGAATTCTGACCCAAGTTCAACGGCTCAGCCTTCATACGGCAAAAACCATCGAAGTTAACCCGCGCGCCGACGGGGGTCTGCGACAACTTAGAACCGACAGGGGGGGGGGGGGGCGGATGACCGCCCCCCTGAGATCTCGAGAACGAAGCAAGATAGCGACAAGCAGTAAACGGCATGGGATACGCACGGACAAGTTCTACAATTTTTACTCAGGTCACTTTCAGGTCAGGTCAAAGATGACGTCACAGGGGTCAAAAAAGTAAAATGGCGGCGCTATTTATGGAGAGGGTTTTTTCTCGAATAACTTTCGAACTAGTCAAGATAGGAACAAACTAAGGGCATCATCGTGATCTGCTCGTCAATCCGCATCGAACCATATATATGTTGACCTCGAAAGGTTAAGGTCAAAGGTTGACCTCAGGTCATGTGACCTCGAGGTCATCATGTGTATCATTCGATGCGCCTTGACGAGCTGAACACAATGAGACCATCCGCGCGGCTGTATCTTGTTCCTGTACGGAGTTATTGGCAAAAAAAAAACTTTGGTGAACTTTGATGACGTCACATGACCTTAGTACAGCTGCCCAACAGCAAAACAGACCTCAAGGTAGTGAAGGTTGATCGTATATGAAGTCATGTATGGTTTATGGGGCCATTCCGACCCGTTTTAGTGGTAAAAACAGGGAGTTGCTTTTCCCCCATTGACTTATAATGGGGAGGTCGAGAAATTGACCTGACCTTAGGTCATCGATATCGAAATTCCGAGATATACAAATTGTAGCTACTAATGACCTTATAAAATCCTGCGACTTTTAAAGGCCTCCGACATCTACTGTAGCTCTGGCACGGTGACAAAGTTGCAAAAAGGTGACTTGAGGTTTAAATAACTGCGCACAAGTGGACACAGTCTTTATTGCTAAAAGCAATACGACAAAGACCAACAATCCAGATCGACAAATTGTCAACACATAACAGTTTGCATGTTGGGGGGGGGGGGGGTACCACACAATTAGGCGGCAACAAGTCGCTCAAAAACGGTTATCACCAAGCCGAGCTGAAGTTATCACTGCGGCTAGCAGGAGCCACCATTTCCGATTACCGGAGCCGGACCTAGTACCCTTCATCCGATGTGGTGATCTCATAGTCTGGGTACTTGTCCTTCAGAAGGCCAGCGGTGATGGAGTGGTCGGCGCGACCGTAGCCCTGCGAGTAGCCAAACACCTCCAGCTTCTTGGCGTCGGCGTGGTGCATGATCCGACCACCGCCCACACACTCGGCACTCAGACCCAGCGCCGCGATCTGCGCCTCAAACTTTTCAAAAATGTCCGCGTGAAAGGCACCCCACTGAAAGCCGCGCACAAAGTACTTGAACTCATTGTCGCCAGCGTCTGGAGACGTGTACACTTTGGCTAGAACATACTTGAATCTTCCGTTTGGGTCGATTTCTACCGGAGGGACACTGGCGAGGTCCGACGACGCCATTGGCTCGGCACTGAAAGAGACACCAGCAGCGCTTAGATAACTAATTTTGCCCTTCACAACAATGCACGATCAACAAACTACCCAAGCACAGAAACAAACCACTGCTCGCACCCACGGGAAGATTTTGAGCTTGAGCAACTAATTACACATTGTTAACATTTTCTAATATGCTTATCATTTAGATCCGTTTGTACTACGATAAAATTGTACAGTATCTCCACGCAACCGTTTTCGGCATGCCTTTTGATACGCCATTTCTGCACATGTTAAAGTTCAGACTCATACCCTCAAAGCCAGGTAACCCACCAAGTTATGTCAAGTGACTTAGAGCCTCAAAGGGTTTTTAGGGCCATCAGAGCTAATCTGGTCTCTGACTGACTGACTGCTTTGCAACTTTTAGTGATTGATAAGTGACACAATGTACAAAACTCACACCGATTCCAGTTTTTCAATATCAGTGACCACTGACCAAAGGTCAGGTTAATTTTGCAAGGTCTACATTGCCTGCATTCCACTAATATGATTTTTGATGCTACTTCGCTTACCACACATCACTGTGCTGCCCAGGAAGCAAGTAAGATAAGGGGTGGGGGTAGGATGAAGACTGCTGAGCATGAGCCAAGTGGGTGCCAATGAATCATGCCTATTTAAGACCAGAAAAGCCATGATTGATTGAAACTCAGAAACCTCTAGCTGGAAAAGACTTGACTGCAAGCAAAGTGACCTACACAAATTTCCAACTTCAGTCAAAAGCTTTGAAGTTAGTTTAATTTGACTTGACCTATGACTTGACTTGACCTTGAGATTGACCAATGTTTATGTTAACCCTCGCCCGCACATGGGGGGAGGGGGGGTTGCCACCCCTCCCCC